ATACTTTTTATTTTTGTCATGGGCTTGCCTGGCCCTTGGTCCAACCAGTTTTGTTGTGTGTTTTACCAACAGCACATGTATCTGTCTCTGAGCTGAAATATAGCAGGTACCATAATCTCTGGAAAATGATGTTGTTGCTTGCTAGATCCCAGCTGAGTGCTGTAGCTGGATATAAAAGCTCATCTTACCTGTTCCACTCTAATTTGAAGACAAACAAGTTAATGCAAAGCAGATGGTCTGAAATAACCTGTTTGACCATGTTCTACACCAGGAGATAAATGAACAGGTATCCATTTACCAGTTCACAAAAAGCAGTCATTTTACTAATTTTCAGCTCTTGGTTTCCCAAATTTCTGTTCATTCAATTGACATTTAATTGATCAGGGATCAAAAGCTCCTCTGCAGAACTGAGTTTTTGCCATTTTTTTACCTGTGGAGTATTTCAGGAGCAATAACAGACATTGCCTTAGCAAGAGGTTTGAGTTGTCCTGCAAAGTTGAGTCTAGTACAACTAATATCCCTTACTTTATTAGAAAGCATTAAAAGTCATGTGGTTAAGGCTCAAGGCTGTGAATATGAAGGAGTAACACATGTTCCTGTGTCAGCTCAGCTGGGACAACTCACGTGGATTTACCCTGTAGCAAATGTGAGGTAATATGCATTAAGGTTTTAAAAGAAAGACTTTACCCTACTTGCCTTGTATTCATCCAGGACTAAGAGTGTCTACATGGATTTGTTATCACAGTTTAGCTCACGTTTTTAACTAATTACATAAATAAATGATTTGTGCACCTGGCACACTAGGCCAGATGTTGTTCATATGCATAATAAAGAATCCTATCTTGCCTGCAGAACTCGCCTTTTAATCAAACAAGGCAAAGGGTGGTTGCTATTCCCTATTTTGCAGCAGGGTGAACAGACATGCCTTGTGACTGGGAAGCTGACTTGTCCTAGGTAGTAGTACTAATCTGAGGGAAGACACAGGACTGAATTCAGATATCTAATGAGATAGCTGTGAGATCATCTTTCTGATCATTAGGCAGGCTTTCTCACCAGAGTAACACCCTGGTTTTTTTTTTCTCACAAATATATGAGAAAAAATGAGAGAAATATATGAGTATTTGAGAGAAGTATCTGAGCCCTAGAAATATTTCACTGCTGGTGGCTCACAGGAGTCTTCTCTCAAATGCATTATTCAACTATTATTATATAGGGATAAGGGATTATAAAGATAAAGAATTCCATGGGGTTTATGAACTTTCTCTTGCAAATTGTGGGACTTGTGTCAAATGGGAAAAAAGCTCATTGCTAGCACAAACATCTTTACAGGTGTGCTCAGTACCTGCTAGGAAAGTGGTTTAAGAACAACACTCTGAAGTTGGTTGGGTCACATTCAGGCTTCTGCTTATCCAAAATTCAGAAGAAATCGAGGAAAATATAACAAAAGGATTGTGGATTTATAGTACATATTAAAAGTGCCACCTTAAACATTATCTGCAAAAACACCAAAAACTTTTTCCAGTGAGGAGAATGCAAGAAGCTCAATTTGCAGACATATATGCTCACTACCTTACAAGATCCACAGTTTACATAACAACCTGGTCTTGAATGTGGTATTTATTTACTCTACTATTATAATAATATTAGTTAAACAAACAGAATAGGCATGGGAATTACAAGGAATGCCTAGTAGTCAGGCATGTGGTTTTTGACTTAAAAATTTTACTTAATGCTGTTTAAATCTCATCTTGTTTTGAAATAAATAAATAAATAAATAAATAGATATAGCCTTACAGCAGAGATTAGCATCAATTCCAGGAGACATCTGTAGATACCAGAGCAATTAGGTTTGCACTTGAGGAAAATTCTTCAAACTGATGTTTCTCATGGCTTAAAATTAAAAGGAATAGCAAGAAAAATTGAAAGACATCTATATTTAACCACCTTTCATCCCAATGCAACTCTTTTCCTTTATCCCAGAGATGACAAGTACCTAGTAAATGTACATGTACACAGTTCCCATACAGGTCATGCTGCTTGCCATCTAAGCTTGCCACTCCTTCAAGATGATGAGAAAAATGCATTAAAATTCCCTAATATGCTAAAGACAAAGTCATGAACAGTGCTTCCCTTTTGAGTGTTTTTTGTATTCAAAGGGCACAGGAACAAATCTTTAGAAGGGGAGTTTTCCAGGAGGTTAATTTTTCTGGGGTCTTTTTCACACTTAAATGAATATGGGTTTTTGCATATGAGAACCTGTGCTGACAAATTTTATCCAATGGAATAAAGAAAAAGAGAAGGGAATTAAATGGAGGGAGACAACATAGCCTAGTAAACAAAGTAACAGACTTGGGGGAATCAGGAGACCTAGATACTATTCCCAGCTCTTCCCTGCAGTGTGACTTTAGGCAAGTCTCTGAGCAAGTTTTCCCTCGCCACTCTGTTGTCTATTTATATTGTAAACTCTTCAGAGCAAGCACTATCCTTTGCTGCATGTTTCTACAACCCCAGCTGCAAAGGAACTCTGTTCTGCATTGGAACATCCCACAAAAAGTAATTGCAGCAAGCCTCCATGATTCACTTGTCAGTGAAAATGTTAATCTACCTTTCTGCAGCCAGTCTGGCTACAGACAGTTCTTGGTAGTAGGCAGTATTCAGATCATAGAAAAGAAAAAAAACAAAACTACCCGAGGAATAAACACAGGAATTAAGTGACTTCAGCAATTCCAGTGCAATGTCCTACTGCAAAGAAAAAAAATCTGGGTTCTGAAAAGATATCAATATAGGGTTTAATAAGAGTACAAGCACGTGGTCTTTCATCTAGAGATAAAGTATATGAGTTCCAAGGGAAAAAAAATTAAATTGAGTGGCCTGGTGTTCTAAAAGCACAGTATGTCTGATAGACAGGAATGATTTTCTTCTTGGGTAAAAACTTGGAGGGAATAAAGGGACCAAAGTCCCTTCTGTGAACATCTCCCCATGTACTGTGCATGCTCTGCCTCAGATAATGTAGCAGAAGTTGTGTTCACCCTAGTACTTCATCCTTCCCTAAAGGAAATTACTATAGTCAGAGAGTGTGAAATTGTGTATTTTGTCCTTACAGAAAGTATTAAAAAAAAATTAAAAAAAAATAAAAAAGGAGCCTGGCAAGAGGGGGTTATCTACATAACTTTAACAGCCACCACAAGGACAGCAGGTCAGATTCTTCTGGCACAGAACGTTAAGTTGAAATGTGGGAGGCTTTCCTGCAAGGGACACAGTAGTGGATGTTCATTGCTGAATTTCTGGAGAAGTGTTCAGGGCTTGAACTTCAAGCAGCAGCATGGATTTAAAATTAAGTAATCCTAAAACGTTGTCTTAATGTGTTTTTTTGTTTAATGCAGTAATTTCTGACATCTACTTGTGTAGGCACTCTTAGTTTCAAGTTGAAGACCATATTGTAATTTAAGCACAAATCTGAGCTCATTCTTTACTCAGAGTTCAATCATTAGTAACACAGTCATTTTTCACACCTCAGTGAGAGCCGGGCACAATGCAGATTTTGGAACTTGAGTGGAATGGATCCTAGGTTATCTCAAACCCTAAAATGAGAGCCATGCACCAGGAACTCTGATCAAAGGAGGTATGAACAGACCACAACATCCAAGAGCTTATTCCTACATCAAGCATGACCATATTAGCCCTTCCTGGCAGCAATATGGCTTTATCAAGCCCAGCCTGCAGAGTGTGACAGCCAGCACGTATCAGATAACAATTGAACATGTATAACTTAACATTAATGTTGCAGGTACATATAACCCAGTGGACTCAGGTAGTTATATTACATTTTCAATAGCTTTGAGCTCAGCCCTGACTAATCATCAAACATTGAATCCCTTCCCAGTGGGATTTTGCAGCCCTTGCTGCAACTGATGAACATCTGTGGTGTGTGGACCACAGCCAGCAACTAAGCACCCACCCAGATTCTCACTCACACCTGTTCCCAGCAGGTTGAGGGAGAATATAGAAATAGCAAAACCAATAAAACTGGTTTAAGGTTCTAGAGAAGGCAAGAGGGGAAAACCCAAGTGATACAAAGACAATTGCCACGTTCCACAAAAAGAATGATGCTCTGCCCATCTCCTAGCAGCAGCTGACTTAGAAGACAGCCCACACACAGTCTCTATTTTTTTTTTTTGCTGTGTGGTGAAGAATATCCCTTTGGTTAGTTTGGATCAGCTGTCCCAGCTGTGTCCATCCCAACCTCTGGCCCATTACCAGGTTGGTCAATGCAATGGGGCAGAGTAAAAAACAGGAGAAGCTGGACACTGCAAACATGGTTCAGCAACAGCTAAAACAGTGGTGAGTTACCAACATTGCTTTAGTCAGAAATCTCAAACACAGAAATAAACAGGCTGGTGTGAAGAAAGTTATTTCACAGACAGACAGATCCAGTACAACAGAGGAAATTAATTTCAGTTTGATATATTTGCCCTCATCACCCATTCTCAGCCTGACCCTTCAGATACCTTGTATTTGAAAGAGGGTAAAATACAATCCTGGAATAAACTCACAGTGAGTTTAGTATAACTGCTGAATTTCTTCGAGATTCCTTTAAGAAAAGTGTCATTCAGGACACTATGTAAACCAGTGACTTTCAATGTAGGATTTAATAGTGTATTTCAGAGTAGTCAGCTAAGTATAACGTGTACAAAAATCTGCCCATGCATCAAAAAATTTTAGGAGTCTGCAAGCAGGGAGTAGGGAGGGAGAGAAATACTGACTTTTGGAAAATTTCAAGATCATATTGATAATGAAATTTATTTTTTAATAGTATAACACTTTAATTTTAATGTCAAAGACAAAACAATCAAGGACATTAACAATGCAGATGCATAAAACCTTTTTAAATTACCAGTGAAGTTTCTTGTCAGCTTAATTTAAAATTATTTCTTTCCATCCTTTGACATATTTAGTTTTCTTTGCAATTTTTTTTTTTTTTTAATTTACTTGTTTAAAAGTTTTCTGTGTTCAATAGCAGCTGGAATCCTAAAATGAAATTAAAACCATGTAGGTGCCAATATATATATTCAATAGATATGAGACTAAATTAAACTAATTGACATTTTATTAATACTCTGCTGTTTGTTCCCGCAGAGTTAAAATTGTACTCTAGATCCCATTATATGAAGATATACTTTGGACCATCTGGTGGCCAAACATTTCTGATTATAAATAAGTCATTTTTTGTTAATTATTTATTTGGGACCTTTTGTTTATTACACAAAAATCTGGAAAGGGAGAAGAAATAGCTAAATGTGCTGAGGTTTATAATACATCTTTCATAAACAAAACTAATTTTTGCAGAAAAATCTGGTTGAGGCAGGAGAGAATGCTGAATATTCATTTGCATTAGAAAACTCTTTCTGAAATGATTCTTGTTTGCAGCCCTTTTGGCTTCATTTTGTGTGAACATACAGGCAGTTAGAGAAGACATTCAGAAGCAGTAAACAATTAGCTGTAATGTTAATCTCTAAGAAGGAAGGAAACTATTTGTTTATCACAGAGAATAAAAGGGGACAGACATTTTATGAAAAAGAAAACAAGGTAAAACCCTTTGATAATGATGATGAAGTAAAAGTAAAGTAAACTTAGTAAAGTTGAAGGCTTTTCATCACTGAAAGTCTTCAAGAACTTATCAACTACTATCAGAAATTATTTGGATAGAATTGATCTTTTCTTAAGGAAGTACACTTGAATTTTTGAAAATGGGCTAATCAGTATCTCAATATAAGTGCTGGCTGTGTTTTCAGTAGTCAGAACTATATACTTCCATATATTTTTTGATAACTGGCATAATTTTGAACTTTAAGCTTCCATCAAAATCCTTAATACTGTGACCTATAAAGAATCATGAGGCGTACAACTTCCAAACATCCACATTGAAGGAATACAAAAGACTGCAATGTCCAAGAAGCCTCAATAAATTGAACAGTTATTTATCATTCATATCTGAAGCAAATACCCATTTTTGAACTTTGGATTAAATCTAAAAATCAACCACAACCATCCAGAAATGGATGTCTTAGGTCTAGGGCTTTGGGAGCTAGGGCAATCCCTGTCTGGTTGCAAAGGAATAAATATGTTGCAGTTTACAAATGTCTAGCCACTGAAACCAAGCCATTGAAGGCACTTTTGAAGGAAAATCAGAAGTTATAATGATAAAACTGAAGAGGACATTTGTAGGCAGAGGCAGAGAACTTAGCAGGAATGCTGTAAGAGCAATAAAGTTTGACAGATAATATTCCTTACTGAGTAGGAATGACAAGCAAATGAAGAAAATAAAAATTTCTATAAGATTTTTTAAATTAATTTCCTGCCAAACAGACAATTGTCTGCTGTCCCTGACAATCCTTAACCACACAGGCAAGAGGAAAGGAGTATCTGCCTAGTTGCTCTTAATCCTTCATCAGGGTGCAGTTCTTCCCCTATTCTCTTCTGCTATGCTGGTTCTATCTCAAATTTGAGGTCTTTAGCTAGGGGAAATTTCACAATCTTTTTTGTCTAAATATTTTTAATCTTAACAGATCTTACTATCAAGTAATTACCCTTCCTGTTCTAAATTAAAATATTTTCTTCCACTTATTTTTCACATTGCTTATAATTATAAAGGTGGCTTCTTTTGCTTCAGGGGGAGTAGCATGTGAAAAGCAAGAGTTGGAGGGAACAGTACTCTCTTTTAGATGTACACTCATATGATCCTAACACATATAGCTGAGACCCCGACCAATATTGATATATACCTCTAATCTATTAACATTAAGAAAACATTCACAAATATAGAAGTGAACTCAAATTAGATATTGGTTTCCCACTACTATGTGGTCTGTCTCAAAAAACAAGATCCATTATTTATAAAAAAGGGAAAGAGAATAAATCTGCCTCATTTTACTTTTGTTTGTTCAGGTTTTTTATTTGTTTGGTTGATTGGTTTGGTTTGATTTGGTTTGATTTTTTGGTTTGTGGGTTTTTTCCCATTTGATTAGGCTTGTCAATGAGTTTTGGAGAAAAGCACTGTTTTGGATGAGGGACACAAAGAACTCACATCACTTCAGTATCCCTCCAGCTTCAAATGTCTTGCAATAGTCAAAGAAACCATTCCTGGCATCCATTTAAATCACACTCTGTTATAAACCTTTACATGGTTTATAATGTAAACAGTCTTTGTAGTCAGGCAGCAAACTACATGACTACAGAGTTTTCTGTGGAACATAGAAATTAGCTCAAGAGGCTTTAAGTTAATTCTTCATGGAATTAGAAGTGGTGTTAAACAAAGAAGGATAAGGATATAAAGTGGAGGAGGAGGAGAAGGAGGTGGAGGAAAAGAAAGATGAAGAAAAAAAAGTACCAGCACTACAGAGTTTACTAGTGCCAATATAATTTTTGTTTTAATGGTTTTGATGGATTTTTTTTGTTCTTTGATGTTGTTATGCGGTTTGGAGGTTTTGGGGAGGGTGAGGGGGTGGGTATTTTTTTGTTGTTCAAGTGCTATCCAATGGATATTGCCAGTCCTGTGCTTGCTAGATCGAAGAATAATCTATTTCTATTTTTTTCTGTAAACACTTACAGTCTCAGTTTTTGTCTTTTTTCCCAGCACAGTGCAATGTAGCTTATTATTTCCTATGGAGTTGAAAAAAATAAATAAAAACTTTGGTGGGGACTGGAACAAAAATTTGGTTGCAAACATGGAGCAGTTTATGCTCACTATGGATAGGTAGCAAGAGAATTGGGAAACTCAACAGAAAGAAATATTTGCCATCCCTAGAAAGGTGAAAAGGACATGACTGATATGTCCATTTTCCCTTGGAAGAAGTAAAGAACAAGGGAGGAAAGCATGAATAAGGGAAAAGGTATTTGAAGTCATCAGAGTGGTACACACACAATACTGGGTGAATTCCTCTGCTTGAGGGGCAAAACAGAAGAGAATTAGAGTGGGTAATAAAGGGGGAGACACAGACCCTGATGCAAGGAAGCAAGAGTTGCCTGTATTAAAAGAGCAAGAGACTCTGGGGCAGTGCAATAGAGTGACCTGGCAAGGAGCTGTGCCAGATGCCATGGGTCTGATGGCAGAAGTGTCCCAGTGGGCAAGACTAAATGCTATGAACCATTAAAAGAGAAAAAGAAATCTTAACTACAGGAAAGCTGTGGAAATTCTCTTTGGTTTGCACCACTGCACATTCCCAGAGTATTTTAGAGCAGTCTGACACTCCAGCTAACCCATTTCAAAACGTGTGTATCTGTAAATAAGCTGCTGGGTCTTCACTTTGGGGGCACTGGTTTTCATAGCAAAACGTACTCCAGAACTGGGGGCAGCCAATAATGCAGACCTCCCCCAGACAGCTCTGGAAAGTGACCTGCATTTCATCCACCATTCTAGAAGTTTTTTAAATAACACTTTCATATATTTCCTCTCAGAATTTTTCAAATTCTATACTAGATCTACTAGCCCTGCCAATATCACAGGGAGGTATTGTTTAAGATTTAGGGGAATTATTCTTCTCCTACAAACTGCTGGGCTGGTTCTGCTTCCTCCCTACAGAGCTAAGAAACTAATTTGCATGATGTTGAAAAAGAGAAATCTTTTTTGATGTTTTTTTCTTTGAATGCTTTATGTGTAGAGCTGTGTTCATTCCCTCCATGATGGTGATTATTCTGGAAATCTGAGTGAATAACTGTGCCTAAGTATTTACATTTCAATATTTTATTAAATGATCACTCATATTATCCACTCAGTACAACAGGAGCCAGCTATGTGGCTCCTTCAAGACTAGGAGAGGCAAAACCATAGGAGGCTTCATTTCTTTCTTTAGGACAAAGTCTAACCAGGAAAGTGTGCAACCAGTCATGAGCCACTTATGTTATACCAGCCTTGGAGTGAAAACAAAGCTAACCTCCCTGCATCAGCACAGTTGAAGGATAAAACTGCTGGCTTTTGCGTCTGGCAAAATTTTGAGCCACATTGTTGCTAATCCAGACAAAGGAGAATCAGCAGAGAGGAATCTGGAACCATTTTTGTTTTCCCTTTTAATTTTTTGCAGTTCTGTTGACAGCTTACCAGGCTGCTGTTGTATGTTGGTGTGGTCACGTCTACAGACAACCAAGAGGAACCATGTGTCTCAGTTTTCCAAACCCTGCATGAGGCCCAACACACTCCAGTTACCTGCCTTCAGACACCTAATAGTTCAGATCATGGATTTCCCAATATTTGAGGTAAGAACAATGCCAAAAATATTATGGGGTAAGTGTTTGGCTGTAGTATACATTTTAGAATCCCTAATACTCATTTCTTCTAATCTCATCCAGGTCAACAAGAAGAGCTGTGCCTGTCCCTAGCAGGGCTGGACTGATTTGATGAGTTATTTTATGCTTTCAAAGAGCTGTGTGCATTGTGAATGTCATTACATAGTCTGTATGCTTGATCATACAAAATAGGAAATAGTGACCAGAGCTAAACTGAAAAGCTGGCCCTATAACTTCAAAGGAAAGAAGAAAAGGAGAAGAAAGTTACCTTCAGAGCAGCTTTTGTACCTGCAGACACTAAGGTTAATCAAATCTTATGCTTCAGAGTATATGGCTGATTAGCTTGTGTCTGGAAGCACTTCCCCTTATTTGCCATTCTACTCTTACTTGCAGAAAGAACAAAGTTCATGTTAGTTCTAGGATATTTTTTGTCGTTTTTTCCTCATTCACTTGCCACAGAAACTTTGAAAACTACTGGTTGTACTGAGAAGTGCCCTATGCAGAACAGCTCTATTCTGGCAGAGAGGTTAGGAAGCCTGCAAGCTTTGATATGTATTAGAAAACAAAATTATTTTGCCATTATTGCTCTGAAGTGCCTGCCTTCTTATGAAGCTTTATAACTGAGAATGATTTATACTTCTATGAACCCTTGAGGTAGAGAAGTCTTTTCTCTCCTGCAACTTATGGACGTATCTTTGAATTATGATAAAAACCACAACGAGACTAAGTGGACGTTAGTGTTGTGTGTTCTGATTTAGGTTTTTTTTTGTTTGTAACCTTCATAATTAAGTAGGAATGTCCAGAAAAAGAAATCTTACAACTTTTCTTCCTTCTCTTGCTCTCTCTCACTCTTTCTTTTCTTCCTTCACTCTCTCTCTTTCTTGTTTCCATGTGAGATACTCTTCATCCTGTTAATCTTCAAAGTCCTGTGTAAACCTACCTACCTATTAATTTTG